ATTAAAATATTTTATTTTTAAAGTATGATTAGAATGTTTTTAGTCTTTTTTATGTTTTATTAAAACAATAAAGTTTTAATTGAAATTTATTTATAATATTAAAAAGTAAAATAAATAAGCAGTACTTTCAATTAATTCTTATATAGTTTATATAGATAAATTTTCTAATTTGTATGTTACGTAAATAGTGATTGCCTTCTTAAAAAGATAGTATATCTAATAAATCATTGATATAAAATTAATTAATATAAGTATTTCGTAAATTCACATTCGTGTAAGTTCATTCCACTTTAAATATACTTAGTAGTTAATATTCAGAGGGTATATATATATATATTTGCTTTAGAAAAATATATTGATATTTAAAATATTAGAATATTAGTGAATTATTTAAATACTTTTACTAAAATTTTTTAGTATATTAATTTATTAAAAATATTTAAATCTTTTAATTATCATTTCTAATATTTAAATTATTAAAATATCTTAATTTTCTATAATTTCTTATTTTTTATAATGTAAATAAATATATTTATTCTTTTGATTAGTTTAAATTTCAAACTACATACTACTAACCATAAACTTCTATATATTAAATAGATCCTTAGAACTTAAGAATAACTACTTAAGAATACCCACGAACGGGTGGATAAGTTAATAGAAAACTCTTTCAGTTTAACCAAAAATCTTGATTTTAAGTCCTAAAAATGTAGTTTCGTTAAAACTCATGAAGAAAAGCTTTGCCGCCTGTTAAGTCCTACCCAACTCGAATTCAGATTAATCAATGACCCAATAAACTTTCAAATACTGGATGATTTGTACCAAAAAAAAATAACTACTTAAGAATAACTATTGTTCTTTATTTTTTCCTGGCCATTTATGTTAGTTGAATTATAAAAATTGCAGTTCAAATGAAAAGAAATCATTAGTGGCAAATTAATATTGCCTATTTCTATTATTCACAGTGAGTATTTTTAGATATAGATAAAATATAATCTATATTTGTGACCAGGATAAATTGGGGGAAGAGAGAATAAGATTTGTGAAATTAGAAAGCACAACCCACAAAAGGTAATTTCTACTTAATTAAGAGTTCTGGCCACTAGGTTAGCCTGTGGGAATCAAATATAATCTATATTTATTATTTAATTTAAAATTTTGTAGATATAGAACCAAGGATGAGTATTAGATAGGAAAAACATTATCCCTTAAGTTACTCTAAAGAAAAAGATTCTGAGTAAACGATTATCCTCTTTTCGCTTTCTGAAATCTTGATTACTTAGTTACTTTTCCAAGACTTGGAAGTCTTTTTGGTCTTAAGTCAACTTAATTAATTAGTGCCAAGCGTTCTCTATTGTGAATCACGCACGCAGTAGGGTTGGTTAATTTTAATTTTCCCTTTCACAAATCTTTTGCCCCACCATAATATTATAGCTTTCACAGTTCTTGTGCTACTGTTGTGCAACGTGAAGACTAGAAAATCACTTCTTTGCCCCAAAATACAAGTTTCAAAAGTCTTGTGCTGCTATTTTGCAACGTGGAGATGGGGATCTTGGGAAATAACTGTCAAATCTTGGAGCAACCTTAATTTTATTGGCCATCGAAAAATCTATTCATTAAAATAAAACTCAAAGGGGGTGAGTTACACAATATGTCTGAAGTAATTTTTTTGGTTTGTGAAAAATGGTTTTTCGAAGACCAATATATGACATACTCATTTTGTTTTAAAATATGAAGTTTTAAAATATGAAGTTTTAAAATATTTTTTATGTAATTTTAAATAATGTTTTTTATAATATATAAATAATAATTAAAATTTTTTAATAGCTCTTATTAAAATAATAGGTGCATATATCTTCTTAAATATATACACAAGAAAGAACATTTTTTCTTATTAGGAAAGTAATTTTTTTTAAATCTATTTTTTATATATTTTCCTTTTAATTACTTAAAATGTAAGTAAAAATATCATTTTTATTTTTAAATACCAATTAATTACAAAAAAAATATACAAGAGGAAAAAAAAAAGATGGATAAGATATGAGAAATTAAAATATATATCGTGAATATTACATTAATTAAACTACATGGTTTAAGTATAATAAAACCAATGCAATAGAATCCATGAAGCAAAGAAATTAACAACAAAAATAAACAACAATATTCTCATAAACAACGTGATTGTAGGAAAATCATAAACCTTGCGTGTTTACACTATTGTCACCTGCGTGTTGACAGTTATATTGTAGTCTCGACAATCAAAAACACTTTTCAGTTTTTGAGTTTACATTTTCTTCATATGTTCTGCTTCCTTTTTAATAAGAAATTTTAAATTAAATAAATACTCCTTCAAAATCGTAACTCTGAAGCTTTTGAAGATCAAGATAGAGACAGCAAAGAAGAAATGAAGTTTAGAAGAAAATAAATACTTGAGATTTTTTTCATCGAACTAGTTTTATTACCATGTCAAATATTCTTATGTTCATTTTATATTCATCTTAGAATATTTGATCTTCTTTTCTTTTAATTAAAAACTAACTTAACCATCTAACACTACAATATAATCTTATCAATATAATGTAGAATGTTGTGGTTTTTATACTTTCAAAGCTAATTACAATGATGTGGAGTATACATTATTGTTTTCTATGATTTTAAATGATTGGACATCATCATAACTGATTTGAAAATCATAATTGGGAGTAAGAGAAGATTTTAAGCAGTAGTCTAAACTTACATATCCCATGAATTGAGCTAGAGATGGACTAACATAACTCATGCAGTATTGGATTTTATTTTCTATATAAACTAGAGACTTTAACATAACATATTACATTTTTTTTAACTATTTAAATCCACAAACATAGATGGTTAATAGGTGTATATGAATTTAGTATAACTTGATCCTACGGTAACATGAGAAGTGAAGACTACTAAGGTATATTAATCTAAATTATATATTTATTGATTATAATAAAATCAAACATCTTAGAATTTGAACTCTTATTATCACTAAAGTCCATGTGGTTTTTTCTTTAATTGGTTTAGTTCATTAGGTCACTCAAATCATTTCACTTTCATTGTTAAAATAAAATTAGAGTTAATTAATTTATGTACTTAATTAGTCTACAATTTTTGTGATGCAATACTTTATTTGATCAGAATGATCCATTTTTCAAGATCCTTTCGAAAAAGTATGCAAGTTTCAAACTAAAGATATTATCATTAATAGTTTTCTTCTCAAAATTTGAGCACTTGAGAATTTACGAGGTACAAAATAGAAGCAAAATTTGTTAATACAAATGAAGAAATTTAGTATCTAATATAGTAACCTAAAAGCATCTACAATGGGAGTAACTACCACCAACTGCACATCCTCCTCCCTCATTATTTTACTCAAGAAAAATGATTTAGAAGCATCTTTTTTACAACATTTTTAGTTCTTTTAATTCATTTATGTAAAAATTGTATAAAAAGATTATAAAAAAAAAAAAAAAAGATTACCACTACAAATTGCACTATCATTTCACTCAGATTCCTAAACTTAAAATAATATATGGAGTAAAGAGAAAAATAAAATGGTGCTACATTTAGGTTACGGTACCACAAGCGTCTACCAGGGAAACCATCTCCCACTCCGATGGGCTAAAGGGGTAACGCTTGTGTTGCCCCAATTAGAGACGGCCTAACTTGTTACATGGTAAATTCAGGGAAAAGATTTTAAAAAAAGTTCAAAGATATTTAAGATCTTCTTGTCACATTTCCATTAAAATTAAAATAAGTTGAAAATGTAATTGGAAATTTTTTCTTCTGACCTGATGACTATACACCCCAAGTGATGATGTGCCTGTCAAGTGCCGTTGCTCATCAGCAGTGGCAGTAATAACGACCATCCTTAAATTGGCACTACTGCTCAAGAGAGACTGCACCTCTGCATCTAAAGCCGTGGCTGAAGATCATATCATCCACATCATTCAACTTTGCCCAAAATTTATCCGATTCCCTGACAAAAAAAAAAAAAGCAAACATGTATGACATTACATTTATTTCCATACTCAAATTGTTTCTAAAGAGGAAATAGTAATGGCTGATATAAGATTGGATGACATACCTCATCAAGGCTCTGGATGGATTTTGAAGGGACTTTCCTAACCTCCAACCCAAGGGCCTCAATCTTGGAACG